AGGAGATGCACAAGTTAGGAAAACCTTGATTTGATTACATGAAAATCTGTATCAGTTTTGTTGAGCACCTGAAGACACATGGACACCCTGCTGTTCTTGTTGAGTGCATTGTCAAAAATTTTCTGAAGGTCAACTTTGTAAACTGTTCTAAATTTTTTCATTTTGTTGACCTAGAGATTCTACTTCTTCCCATGGAGATAATTAATGAAGGGCTGAAATATAATCTTGTGTTTAAAATATTTTTAAAATTCCCATCCCAAGTATTTATTCTTTTCTAGTATTGGGACTTCAGTAGTGAATATGTTGTGTTAGTTTATATAATGGTAAAACATAGAACATCACAAGTAGCCATCAGTACAGATTTAGTTATATAATCTTTTTAATACATCTGTTTACTCACATTATCTTTGGGTGTTTGGTTTATAAAAACATTTTTCAATATATTACATGTACTATATTGACAGTATGCAGTAAAATAGTTGTTTATTATTTATCCAGGATCCCTATGAATAATGACACTGTTATGTTCACAGAGATAGGCAGTGTGTGGTATTGCTCTCTAGAGAATGTCATTTATGTGTCAGGCACTGAGATAGTACTTCATCTTATCTGGTGTGCTATTTCACTACTTCCTGATGGAAGAACTCACACTTCAGTGAAGTTGAATGAATTATAAAGCTACCATGTTATTACTACTCACTATACAATTTGGTTAAGTATACTAAGAAGAATTACACAGAGAAATCACTAAGTATATGGATTTTTAATATGTGATGAGAAAACATTTTCTGGTCATTGGTGAAAATTGTATTTGTATAATTATGTTATATATGTATAATTATATTTATATATAATTTTTGTATAATTTGTATCAGTATGTAGATATTTGTATAATTGTGTACATATTTGAGGGAAAATAAAAAGCTTAATTTCTGACATACATTCAAATATTTTCAGAGTAAGCAAGAGAAATGAAATAAAAGGCAGCCATATTGGAGAAAAAGAAGTTAAACTATCTCTATTTGTAGATGATATGATCTTGAATATAGAAAACCCCAAAGAACATACTAACGAACTATGAGACATAATAAAGGAGCTCAGCAATATAAAAGAAAATGAGATCAGTATAGAAAAATCAATTTTTTATTTCTACATGCTTGCAATGGACATTTCAAAGATGACAATAAGAAAACACTTCCATTTATAATAGCATCAAAAGGATAAAATTGTTAGACATAAATTAAATAAAAAGTCCAAGATTTGTGTGCCAATCACCACAAAATATTGTTGAAAGAATTGAAAGAAAATCTAAATAAATGGAAAGACATCCCATTATCACAGATTAGAAGACTTAGTACTATTAAGCAGTGTAACTTTGCAAATTAACCTACAGATTGAACGTAAACTCTATCAAACTCTCATCTTGTTTCTTTGCATAACTTGATAGATTTATCCCCAAATTCACATGGAAATGCAAGGAATCCAGAATAGACAAAACGATCTTGAAGAAGAAGAAAGTTGGAATCCTCACACTTCCAGATGCCTTGGATTAAGAAGTGGTTTCTTTAGATATAACACTAGAAGCTCAAGCAATTAAAGAAATATGGATAAGTGGGGCTTTGGCAAATGTACAAGTTTTGTGATTTAAAGGACACCATTAAGGAAGTGAAAAAGACAGCCAACAGAATGAGAGAAAATTTTTACATGATATATGTGTGTGTGTGTGTGTGCATGTGCACATGTATATGTGCACTTGCATCTATAATGTATTAAAAACTCATAACTAAATAATAAAAACAAATAATTAAATTTCAAGATGGGAAAAGGATCTGAATAGATGCTTCTCCAAAGAAAAATATAGGCCACCAGTAAATATAGGTAAAAGATTTCAACCTCTTAACCATCAGGAAAATACTAATCAAAACCACAATGAGATACCACTTCATACCCAGTAGAATGGACATAATAAAAAAGAGAGATAATACGTGCTACTGGCAAACATGTAGACAAGTTGAAATCATCATATACTGCAGGTGAAAATGTCAAAAGATTCACTCCTGTGGAAAATGGCCATGCACTTTCTTTTGCCTGGGGAGATCAGCAACCCACCACGTGTCCAAACCACATGTTTCTTTTCAGAGACATATAGGTTAGTGTAAAAAATGTATTCCAAACAAATTGGATCTACTCTAAGTTATTGAAGGGTGGGGTCCTATGAATTTTAAAACATATTTTGACAATAAACTAAACATTATCAATTTTACTTTAGTATAGCTATGGTTCAATTTATTTAAAATATAAAATAGGGTTTGTTTGACAATGTTACATTACACCACTTTACTAGAGTCCGTTCTTTTAGTTGTCTCTTTGTTTAATCTTTCATGGGGCCTATGAGATAATGGTATTTACCTTTTACACTCTCCTTCTCTCACAAATGTATGGTGAAATTTTCCAGAGATCATTATGTATGCTATGGAAACAGATTAAGTGCAGGAGCAGTTACAAGATTCTATTAGAATAGATATGAAAGAGATTTTCAACTTTGTTTTCATTTCATGACGTTTAGGAAATGTATTATTCATATGAGCGTACAATACAACTTTACATGATGTAATGGATATTTTATTGTAAATTCCAAGTGAATTAAAAATATGTCTAAATTTCTCAGTTTTAATATCTAATCCAGTAAACACTGACACATATAACCACATGAAAACTTAAAACTCCATTATTTTAAAACTGAAAAGACTTAGCTCTTTTCTTAATACTCAGCTTTGGAGGTACTGCCTTTGGTTGAATTTCTGTAATTTACTTCCACAAATACATTTGAAAAAATGTTTATGTGTTATTCTTTAAATTTTAAAATGTTTCCATAATGTTGATGCACTGTTCTCCCCAATACTTTTGAGATTTAATTTTGTAATTTTTAAAATAAAACTGTTCAACTCTAAACGTAGGCATTTTAAGCATTTAAGTATTCTGAATGCAGTTTTTATCATAGACAAGGTCTCACTATGTAGGTCAGACTCAGAATCCTCTTGCCTCAGATGCTGATTGCTGAGATTACAGGCATGAATCATCAAGTCTGGCCCTAGAATACAGTTTTATCCTAGGTAAACGTTGAACATCCTTATATACTTTAATAAATATCCCCTTTTCTTGTATTCTCTGGTTTGATACTGTGGTTTTGGCTGTCATCAATAATGCGCACAACAACAAATGCTGTCAAGGATGCGAGGGGTTGGGGGAAAGACCTATTATACACTGTGGGTGGGAGTGGAAATTAGTGCAAACACTATGGAAAGCAGAATGGAGGTTCTTTTAAAAACTAAAATTAGCTTTAGCATTACCACTCCTGGGCATATACCTGAAGGAATGTAAGCCAGGATACAACAGAGTTACTTGCACACCCATGTTTATTGTAGCACTATTCACAATAGCTAAGTTTTGGAAACAACCCCAATGCCCTACAACTAATGAATGGATAAAGGAAGTGTGGTATATATACAGAATGGAGTATTATATAGTCATAAAGCAGAATGAAATTATGTTGTTGCAGTTAAGTGGATAGAATTGGAGAGCATCATGTTAAGCAAAATAAGCAAGCTAGGCACAGAAAGACAAAGGTAGCATGTTTTGCCTCATATGTGGAAGCTAGACCCATAAGGTAGATGTTCACATAAAAATACATTACCTTATATACAATATATAATACATAACATACACTATTACATAATATAATATATTATATATAATAGAGAGAGAGTACATAATTATATTAGTGGGTCTGTCTGAGGGGACTATGGGGAAACAAGAGAGGAAAAGAGAATGAGAGTGAATAATATTGAAATGCAGTGCATCCATGTATGAAGATAGCATAATGCACTGTAAGCTGTTGAACAACAGGGGTGCAGGGTGATAGAGAAAGGATAAGTAATAGGGGGATTAATCTGATTAAAGCACCATATATACATGTCTGGAATACCAAGGTGAAGCCCCCTTGAACAATAAATATACACTTAAAATATGAAGGACAGGAAGGTAAAATAGGTCCTGTCCAAGGGCGGTAGGGGAGCGGGGAGGACATAAGGAAAGGGTGAAGAAGGTTGAATATAGTGGATGTATTTTGTAGTCATGTACAAAAATACATCAATGAAACTTGTTGAAATGGTTCTAAGAAGTGGGGAGAGGAGATGAGAGAGAATGATGGAGGAAGTGAATCTAATTAAGATATATTGTAAGCACATATGTAAATGTCACAATATATCCACCATGTACAACTATTATATGCAAATAAAAAATAACTGTACAATTTTTTTTAATTTAAAATTTTAAAAACAAAAATAGCCTCTTTTGTTTCTGTTCTCTGGTTGGACATTGTGGTTTTGGAATTTTTCCTTTTCCTGGTAAACTGAGAGCGTTTAACTGGAAACAGGAGCTGGACAACAAGATCCTTTGATTCCCAGGAGCCATGTACTGGCCAGGTCAGGGACTTCCTGCTCATGCCAGGGTGGCTCAATCCAGTACAACAATAAATTCGGGCTTGATCTAGAAATGTCCACAACATGATTAGAGTCACTTTTCTGGGATTAGACGCTTGGTTCCTTGATGTCAGACCCTCTCAAGAGCCAGAACTGAAACTTTTAGGAAATTTCAGTGCATCTTTTCAAAATGCTTGTGATGTGGCATTGTTCAGCTGATGGGGTCCAATGACCTTTTGCTCTCTGCGGCATCTTTTTCTTCCCTGGTACAGCCAACAGGTTGGTTCTAGGGCTCAAAACACCCATGATGATTGCCAATGGGATGCCAAGCAGATTATCCAATCACACCGACAGGATGCAAGTGACTCACTGAAAGGCTCCCTGCAGAGCATGCCATCCAATCAGAGGACAAGTTGGTACATGATTTAGGACAAAGCAACGGATATTAACAGTCCGGCCGTTCTGTTAATAGAAGACGCCATTGTCTGTTCTTCACAGCTACTGGCAACTGCCTGAGCGATGGCTAAGCAGAGCTTAGACAAGTCTGCAGAAACAACCACTGAGATGCTTTCTGAGGAGGACCTTGTTCCTCAAGAGACCGAGGAGACCAACTCCACGTCCCAGACACAGGAGAAGCCAAGGCACCACCACCCCCACCATCACCCCGGGTGTGGTGACAGCTTGGAAGCCTATTTCCCCTGGGTGCTAAAAATGTGTCAACGGGGTCTCACCCTGTCCCAGGAGACCATGGGCATCATGGATTCCTGCGTTCATGACATGTTGGATGGCATTGCCAGCGAGGCGGGCCACCTGTCCTGCCAAGCCAACCACTCAACCATCACCGCCTCGGATATCCAGAAGGCCGTGCACCTCCTGCTGCCCAGGGAGGTCAGCAATAAGGCAGTGCACTAGGCCACCAGGTTCACCCAGGGAAAGCGAGCCACCTCTGGATGCCTTGAGCATCCAAAAACCCAAAGGCTCTTTTCAGAGCCACCACTTGTCCTAAAAGACCTATAGCACTGGCAGTGGTACACAGCTCCAGGTTGGGGGTAGGGGTGTCCTGCCCTTCTTAATTCCTTACAAATACCACATTGTCACTTCTGTCTTAACATATTATGTGTTATTACTTGTTCCAGGGAAAATAATGTGTTTCATCGAATTGTTCTGTATTTAATATGCAACATGATTCTTTATCACTTTTACTCCTAAGTCACCATTTATTAAGGATCAGTCAGGTCATAATTATTTTTTTTGTAATAATGACGCTTATCCTTCTCACTGTGATTCTCTGAGATGTGTGGGATAGAACTGTCCAGAGGTATGTCATATATGACACATATTTGGTCATTTTGTTAACTGTTCATTTGGACTTTTAAAAAATAGTTGTAAATAACCCTTTGTTAATTATTTGGAAAACTTTAAAGGATTTCAGTCTAAGTCAAACAATCAGACAAAAGCTGAATAAACTAAAGAATTCAAAAGATTTCTTCAGTGAGTCAAAAATGGGATATAACACCCTCCCAGGAGAGACGCTCTCATGGATTATCACCTTTGACGTGGCTACACTTGCTCAAGGGGAAAATGGGGACAGGGCAAGATATCAGAAAGCTTCCTTGAGTAGTACATATTATTTCATTGTGCTCTGGGGCTTTTGCATTTGTAAATTCAGCAATCAAATAAGAGCAGTAGGAAAAGAGCACGAAATGGATAGTAGAAAATAAGTAGCAAAATGAGACGACAAAGATGAATTACTGGTGTAAGAATGAATAATGTGATTAGTGACTGGACGTGATGAATATCAGTGTATAATTGAGTAAAAGGGGTAAAACACTTGTGATGGTCAAAATAACAAACTCACCCATTAACTTTTCAAGATGAAAAGTTTCCAGTACAATACCAATGCAACAGGATCCACACTGGGGTTTGAACTCAGGTCCTTGTGTTTGCTAGGCAAACAACACATGCTCTACCACTTGAGCCATGCCCTCAGTTCTTTCACATTGAGCTGCTTTTCAGATAGGGTCTCAGGCTTTTTGCCCAGGCTGGTCTCACACCATGATCCTCTCTCCTATTCCTCCTATGTAGTTGAGATTACAGGTATGCACCACTATTCAGCTTCTTTGTTTAGAAATGGTTCTCTACAACTTTTTACCTCTGCTGACACTGAACTGAGATGCTCCTGATCTCTGCCTCCAGAATAGCTGGGATTAGAGAGGCATGTGCCAACACTCCTGCCTTGCGCCCCCACCCTGCCCCACTTCTTTAATAATGGCCCATCAACATTCTTAAAAGGAGAATGAAGGTACATGGGAATCACTATAAAAGGAATTAAAAAGTTGGCATCATGGAAGAATGCCTATTTCAACACACATTGGAGGGATACATGGAATCACTGACTACTGTTTAAGCAGGTGTTATCACTGAAGGTCCCAGCGATGCTGAGGGTGAGCGCTCTCACCCCCACGTCACACAGGGGGAAGCTGGGCTCAGAGAGTCCCTCCCTGTCTTACCCTCCCACACCCCACCTGTACATGGAAAGCAGCTCCAGGACACCACCCTCCCTGGGCCCAGGAGGGTCCCACATCTCTCTCTCACGACACATCCCGGCACCGAGTCCCAAAACGGGAAGGAGCCGACCTGGTTCTGTGATCCCTGCATCTCTCCACCCCCCGGGGGGTTCATTACCCCCCACCGCGGGCACCCACACCCTCAGCCTGCTGCACACAGCTGGAGGCGGGAGCCTGCTCTGTTCCAACCAGTTCACGCAGGTCTCCATTACAAAGTCGTCATGGTCGCCAGGGTCGCTGTGATGACGTCAGGTTTCTATGGCAACCGCGATGCGCAGACTTGTCCTTCCCGCCTGAAATGCCTCCGCACAGCCCTGGCCTTGACTCCCCTCACCTTTCTCGCAAAGCAGAATGTCTTTACCCTGTAAACTTCATCTGAAAAGCGTAAGTAAGCGAGTCCAGGAGGGGACGCCATGGTCCCCATGATGACGTCAGGTTTCTATGGCAACCGCATTGCACACTATTCCACAGATTGGAAATGTCTCAGCACAGCCCTCCCTTCTGTACCTTTGCTTTCTCTGACAAAACACCCTCACCCTTCAGAACACCTGAGAAAGCATATGCATTAGAGAATCTCCGCGGGGACACAGGCAATTGGCAGAACTCTGTCCAGGTTGTTGGAACAAAAAACCTGTTCTCGGGAAGGGAATTTTTATTCACCATAAACGGGACCTTAGGGGAGTAGTATCAGTGAAGGAGCAGGAGAATTATCAGTACACAGAGACCCAGGGTGTCGCCTGAGGCTCTTGGAGATGGGCTAGCCTCTGAGGGGGAACACGTAAGATACACAACACACTATGCAGTTAAACAGCTGTGGCAGAAAACTAAGAGACTGTCCACAATCACCCGACTCGATGATCTACGAACACCAAAAAAATGTCACTTAAGGACATTCACAGTTATTTTAGGAAGGTGGGCCTAGAACAACATAGTAATTTAGTGGGCATAAACCTAGTCAGTTCAACCACACATTGGTTTATACTGAGGAATTTTTTTTTTATTTTATCGTTTTTACATTTACTCACATGTGTATACGCTGTTTGGGCTGCCATACAATGCCGCCCCTCACACAAACACTCCCTTCCCCTGCCCCCTTCTGGGTAGAACCTGTTCCTCCCTCTTGTTCTCCGATTTTGTTGAAGAGAAACATAAGAGAAATATGTAGTAACGTTTTTGCTAGTTTGAGATAAGGATAGCTATACAGAGAGACTCCTAGCGTTGTTTCCATGCACTTGTGTATTACAACCCGAACTGATTGATCTCTACCTGACCTCTTCACTACTTCCTGGTCCCCTTCGCATAGTGGCCTCTGCCAGTTTAAGATTACTATATTCACTCCTCTACAGTAAACACATCAACCATATTCAAGTTTTAGATTTCCTTCCCTTTCCCTATTCCTCCTGGGCATGTTCTCCCCTTGGTGTGTGACCCATGTCCAATATTACTTCATTTGTTTCAGGTCTCTAATCTGCATATGAAGGAGAACATGCAATTTTTAGCCTTCTGAGCCTGACTAACTTCACTTAAACGATGTTCTCCAGTTCCATCCATTTACTTGAGAATGACAAAATTTCATTCTTCTTTGTGGCTGAATAAAATTCCATTCTGTATAAATACCACATTTTCTTAATGCATTTGTCAGCAGTAGGGCATCTTGGCTGTTTTCATAGTCTGGATATTGGGAATAGCGCTGCAATAAACATGGGTGTGCAGGTGCCTCTGGAGCAACCTGAGTCGCATTCCTTTAGGTATATCCCTGGTTATCAATCCTTTGCCTGATGTATAGCTAGCAAATATTTTCCCCACTCTGTGGGTGGTCTCTTCAATTTAGAGACCATGTCTTTTGTTGTGCAGAAGCCTTTTAATTTCATGCAGTCCCATTTGTCAATCCTTTCTTTTAGTTGCTGGGCTGCTGGAGTTCTACTGAGGAAGTCCTTACCTATTGCTTCCAGAGAATTCTCTGCTCTTTCCTGTACTAACTGCAAGATTTCGGGTCTGATATCAAGGTCCTTAATCCACTTTGAGTTGATACTGGTACAGGGTAACAGGCATGGATCTAGTTTCAGTTTTCTGTAGGCAGGTAACCACTTTTCCCAGCAACATATGTTGAAGAGGCTGTCTTTTCGCCATCGTATATTTTTGGCACCTTTGTGAAAAATAAGGTGGGCGTAGCTGTGTTGATTCATATCCAGGTCCTATACTGAGGAATTCTTATCCTTCATTCCAGGTATTTTCTTCCATGTGGAGGAACATCCATGACAAAAACACATCTCCCTTTCTACACACCCATTCCTTTATTTCAGGAGTGGCAATCAATTTAGAAGGAGAAATAGGGACCGCACACCTCAGACTCTCTCCCTTCAAAACTCTTGGTAGTAAGCTGCATTACAGGGGCACTTACTCTGCTCTACCCAACAGAGGTGGATCTTAAATGGCTCCACAGCTCATCTCTTTGTGTTTTTATGCTTTTACTTCAAAATGCTTGTGTCTTTAAGGAGCCCCCAAATACCCTGTTGCTCCAAATCTGAGCTGTATATCAGTTAATAGTTGGAACCAAAAAATAAGAACATTACATTGACTTTGTTCCTTGTAAAGAGGAAGGGGCTGGGAGGTATCTCAGTGGTACAGAGCTTGCATAGCATGTGTGACGCCATTTGCCTTGGTACTACAAAGAAAAAATGACATGGGAAAACATGACTTAGATTTGCTATCAAGTGAGATTCCTATTAATGGTTCCCAGAATTGGACAGACTTACTTACCCATCAGTACTGCACTGGGATGGTCACAGAGACCAAGGACTATCATGTATAGCTATTTGCTGCGTACTGGTAGCTACGTGTGTTTATGTGCCATGAAAAAGTGACTTCCTTGCCAAGAACTAAGAGACAGTGTTAAGAACAAGTTCTTTCAGAAACCGTCTCAAAGCAAATAAATACCCTTGTCCTGACTGCATGCTTATTGAGCAACTTATTGAAGATATGGCATTCCATATGGCTCAGGAGCAGTTGATGGTAAAAACAAAACAAAAACCCCTCTCAATTCTTTAAGATGAGTGACTTCAGTGAAGATTCATCTTATAGAAGGAGATTGGAAATAGCTTCTAAATTTTAATAGTGGGTAAAAAATTTTACATTATCAAAATTTCCTTGAGCAGTCTCTTCAAGAAGTTGATGGGATGTTCAGAAATGTATACCCATAAATAAACCAAAACACATGCACTATACTCAAAATTATAAAAGCCCCCTCCTCAAGTCCTCAAGGATAAGAGAATCTCTGTCTTATCCAGTGATAAGACCACAGAAAAAGAAGGAATGTCACCCAAACCATAATATTTTAAGTAGTTA